GGGGGGGGGGGGGGGTGGGGGGGGGGGGGGGGGGTGGGGGGTAGAAATATGATTCAGATGGTTTAAGGGTTCAATGTTGGGAGTAAACAGGGTTAGGGTTCGGGAGTCTAGGGCTTGGAAGTTGGGTAAGATAGGGGTTACAAGTCCAGTTGCTTTGAGGCCATTGTTTGATTTGGGTTTAGGGTGCTTAGGTTTAGGAAACAGAGATCATGACCAGGTCACTGCTCCTCTTCTCCGCATCTAGGCAGCAAGACAAGGAAGTGTGGGTCTAGGGTTTTAGGGTTTAGGGGTCTCCGGAAAATCCCGAAGAAGGATTACCAGCAATCTCCTAATAGAATAGAGCACAATATGATCGAACATGAAAACCGATGATACGATATGCTTTCTTAGAACTAACTTTGGTAACGGTTGTGGGCTTCCACTTTTCAGGGGATCCTTTACAGCACACACAGGGCCAAATAGGGTCTCGCACTCAGAACAAGAACACCGCAAGACTAACTCCCAAATCCTCAGCACTTTCAGCTCCACAAACCTGAGCAGCTTATCCCGGCTTAAACCCTCAGAACTCATAGCTCTGAACTCCAATGATCCCCGCTCAAGCTATAAACCCAAAACCCTAACCGCGCGCTAAAGTCTAAAGCAATTCCGCGCTTTCACCTCGAACCCAAGAACCCATAAATCCCATTTCCCAAACCAGTCCCCCCCACACCAAGATCCTCAACCAATCCTGCAACCACCTAGACCCCCGTATAAACCAGAGAACTCCCCCAAGCACTGGCCCGTACACCTTGATTTACTGGTGGTTAGTAGGGTATAAGGGAATACAATCCCTACATAATCTATTCCTTTAGTGCCCATATGATCCTTTTTACGTATATTACCCCGAAATTACCCCCATATAGTCCCTACATTACCTTATACTAGGCCCCTTTATTCCCTTACTCCCATTAACCCCCCCAGTAAGTAACCAAGGAGAGCCCTCGCCTGAGCCGCACCCTGCTGGCCTGAGATCGGCGCAGCTACAGCAGCTTCTTGGACTTGACACGGTTTAGGGTTGGGGTTATATAGATAATGGAAAAGAAAATGGAGACTACTATAATATAATAGGGTAGATATGGGGGTTATAGTTTTAGGCGGTTTAGGGTGTTGGATGCAGGAGTTATGCGTGCATCCTTACGCACAGACCTGAAGCATCCACTTGAGAACTGACCTGGGTTTAGGGCTTAGGGTTTGGGGCAGGATAAACCTATAAAAGCCTGTGTAGTCATCAAATTCCCATGCAATCATAGACTTGCCGGAGGCTACCAAAATCTTCTAGGGGCTTCTACCTGACAACTTTGGGCATGCACTAATAAGGAACAGGAATGGATCTGTATAGTAGCGCCTATATGATCCCCAACACAAAACCCATACAAAACAAATTGCTTCATTCTCAACTAGCTGTTAGTAAGTTCAGGTATTAGGGTGTTGGTGATCAAGGTTTCTTTCCTTTTGCTGGCTCCAAGGTGTGGGATTTGGCATGTAGGGCTGGAGGGCAAAGCCTCTTCAAACAGGCAAGCTTGGACCCAACATGAAACATCAAGCTGCACAAGCCCGGGGCGCTGATAGATCTTGAGCAGCAAGCTCCAGCCCAGGAATCTTTCCGGCATGGTCAGAGACCCAAATCCGCCGAGCCCCCCGCAACTGTTCGCGCCGCGAAGTGGCGCCTACGATGCCGAGCTACTTGCCTTGGGGCTGCTGGGGGAGGTAGGGAAGGACAATTGTGCAAGGTGCCGGAAAAGTAGTCAGTAGCTGATCACTGGAGCGTTTAACGCTTACTGGTGCCTGAGGGAGACTGTGCGAGTGGATCCCGATACTAATCTTTGCATGATTGATTCCTTTGGAATAGTTCCTAGAATCACTTCATCATCCTTTAGCACAAGTAACCAAACCTGAATCCCAGAGTGTTATTGGAGCTTCCAGTTTTTCATTCACCAATACGCTAAGCGATCTTCACCCCAACCCACATTAACTCGAAAACACACATGCTAAATCCCTACACCACCTTAACCCCCATAAGCCCGAAACCATAAACCCTGAGTAGTGGTTTCCCTTGTCTTTTCCATTATCCCTATACATCCCCCAATGACCTCTCTATCTAAACCCTAAACCCCAATCCCTAAACCCTAAACCCTAAACCCCAATCCCCCCTAGGCTCCTGCGGCTTCAGAAGCGCCGGGCGCACTGTCCGGCAGTTTCGGGTGCGGGTCGAGCGGGCCTTGCCTTTTGGGCTGCCCCCCGCAGCGCCTGGGCTTGGCTAAGGGTTTCGGGGTTTAGGGGTTGAGGTTGGGGGTTATGGGTCTGGGGGGTTGGGATTTAGGGGTTTAGGGTTGGGGTTTAGGGTTCATGGATTCAGGGGCTCAGGTTGGACAATTTAGACGCCTTACGTGCTATGACCCTCATTATGGGGACCCCAAAAAGGGTACCCTAAATATTCTAGGAAACCCCAACACGGCCCCCTAAGCCCTAACCATAATTCAGGCATTCAGAGGGGGGCTTAGCCAAGGCCCTTCGCCCGAAGTCAGGGCCGCCAGTCCGGAGCCAGACTGGATTCCACGGACCCCGCCCTGAGCGCGAAGAGCCAGATGTAAAAAATGCGAAGGGGAAGTGTACCTTACTGGGGGTTAGTTGGGGATATGGGAGAGACTTTAGAGTTTCAAGGTATGGGTTTTGGGAGTTCACCAACACAGGGAACGCTTCCAGGGCCCCGCGGACAAGGTTTTCCTTTGTTGAGTATACACTGTGCGTCCCCCGAAGAAGAATGAGAAATTACCGTCAGGAATCTGGAGCATTGAGCATTCAGCCTCTGGCTTGGCACTATATCAAGCCAAGTGATTGCATTCATAGGACTTTTTGTAAAAGTTCATGACACAGACATGACACAGAAGCTACATGATACAGCCTACATACAGCACATGTGGAGTACATCACGTGCGCATGTGGCCTCTTCAGTTTGAGACTTTGGCTGAGACCGTCTTGTTCTGCCTGCGCATGTTCTTTGGTGGAAAGCCTTGGCATGAGCTTTCTGCTATGGCTCCAGAACCTGAGAGTTCAGTCATGTCCGAAACTGAGGGGTGCTGCATGGGGCAGGGAATCTTAAACATGTGCGGAGCTACAAGGGCGTATGAAAAAATCTGGCCTATTACGCTACAACAGTAATGGCAGCAGCAGAAAAAGTAGACATAACAAGAACGTTAATGATACGCGTGTCTTCCCCAAATGTTGTTCTTTCGGGACATGTTAACAAGAGTTTGTGGGTTCAGGCTGATAGCCTTCGAGTTTGGGAGTTTCTCAAAACGTGCGGCCCGCGCTGCAACCCGAAAATCATATTGGGACCTCTAGGGACTCGCCAAGGCCCCACAGACGTTGAGACTCCCCAACTACTAGGTGTGCGGAGCCTGGGCGCCCGTGGTACGAGAGAGCAAGGGGCATGTTTCCACGTGCACGAAACCATAGCAGTCGTGTAAATTCTGCGAGAAGTGTAGTTTTGGCTCAAAAAATTTGCTCTTCGCGAAGTAGTTTCGGATTATGATATATGGAAGCTACAATCTGCTTGTTGATCGTGGCTTATCTGATGGTCACGCATTGACTTGCAGAGTCTTTGGGCGCCTTTCCCCAGCACGTGTCTTCGGAGATATCCAGCTTTTGCTGTCAAAAATGCACTGCGTCATGGCAGTTGTGCTAGGAGGATGAACTCAAACCTCGAGAAGTAGCCATAATCGCTTCCTCCTAATATGAAACACCCCCTAATACTAAATACCAGAAACAAATTCCAAGGCCCTAAATTGCAACAGCCTCTAATTGGCCTCAAATTGGAGTCGCTAATGAGGCCCTTATCTGGAATAGTCCGTAATAAGGCCCTAATTGGAAATAGCCCGTGATAAGGCCCTAGTTGGAAACAATCCTTAGGAAGGCTTTAATTTGAATGAGCCAGGAAACTCAGCAACTAGGTAAGCCAAATCCGATGCAGGTCTGCCGCTTCCGAAGCGCGATGGAAGCTTGGAATGGACTAATGTTAAAGCCCAAATAATTGCCAATGCTATGGCCCTAGATTCCTTACGTAGCATAACTCCTATACACCACAAAATGAAGCTCAAAGTTATTTCGGCTCCTATAGTAGGTAAGCATGTTTCAGAACACTCATGCAATCCCGGCACACAACTAATGATTATGAGTGACTGCAGTTTTGTGCGTATGGCTGGTTTGAAACCTGAGCGTTGTCACGTCCCAGTCACCTAAGAGGCTCTCAAAAATTAGATCTGACACGTAAAGTCATAAAAACTCATACAATCCTTACAAAATCCCCCACATGATCCTAGAGTATCAACCCTACACCCTGGGTTCGAGCTTGGCTCGCCCTCAAAATGTCCCCAATGTATCTGTAGGGTTTAGGGTTCAGAGTTGAGTTAGTCGCAAAATTATGGGCCCCTTTTGGTCATAGATTAAATTACGGCACCTAATATTTAGGGGCGCCAAAAAAAGACCCCAATTTTGGGAACTCCCCATTCGTTAGTTTACATGTGTGTTCATCCTTAAGCGACATGAACTTGGAAACAACGCCCTACATAGGTAAGTCATGAAATCTGTACATCCTCATTCAGGAAGATTTAGAGAATCCCAACTCTCACATCAAAACAAAGCCAGCAGGACCACCCGAGCAGGAGCAATCCCATTCTGAAATTCAAGCCGACCCGGGAAAGAGCCCATTTTCTGATGCATGTTTTTATACCCGCTATAATGATCTTACTTGAACGTACCGCAGGGACTTGGGCCTGCAGTCCTTGTTAGGCGGTTGACCAGTCATGCAGCGCACGTGCAAAACCAAAGCAAATCAACCCACAATAAGTGGTCGAAAGAGACATCCTCAAGAAGGGGCTAAGGGCAGCCGCTGTCAGGTGTTCAATCAGAAGCTGCAATCCGGGAATTTGTAAGAAGGATAGTTCATGTGAGCTACAACCACTATGTCCTTCAGACTCCAATGCTCAAGCACGAGAGGGTGACGACAGAAGCTGTGAAGGATGTTTACGGATTAAGTGCATTTGGAAGATGCCGCACAAAAAGATGTAAGCAGTAAACGCCAAGCCCGAAGTCCAGGGAGATTGTCGTGACCTCATTTTATGTATTGTGGGCTTTTCTACAAATAAATCACAAAATCGTCTTCCTCAGGTTATGGCATCAAAGTGACAGCATTTAGCAGTAAACCCTGAAACCTACAGCCTTCTCTGAAGCGTACTTGAAAGTTCATGGGTGCTGAAAAGTGGGCTTGCTGTCAGGAAAACTGTGACCCAATTCAAGGGACCCATGCTCTCGCTTATAATTGCCCACAGTTGACACCGAAAGTCCTTTGTGACCTTCAGTGCCCTGTATCTTGGGAAGTATGCTATTCCAGGTATAATGAGGAACATTTATTACTAGCAGGTTGGGGGTTTTGGTATTTCGGGAAGGGATTCAACTGCGATATGCTATTCAAAGACCTTAGATCCAATCTCCCTTTCGCGTTCCATTTTCTTTTCCATGTGCCTCTCCTTTGTCCACTAGTATCAACCGTATGAACCTGGAACCTAATCCCCAAACCTTGGAAGCTCTGACAGCTTAAACCTTTGCCCCTAAACCTTGAAGTCTTAACCTAAACCCTATAACCCTACATATCCCTGTACATTCGTATATAACTCTGTATTCCCCTTTCTAACCCTAGACCCACCAGTACCTAACCCTAAACCCTGTGCTTCAAGTAGCGGAGGTCCTTCTGGACGAGGAATATAATCTCTGAAGATCCCTATAAGCCCTATATCATCCCAGTTTCCATGTCATTTTCCATGTTATGTTCTTTGTGATTTTCTATTATTGGGGGATGATATCACTAAACCTTAAACCCTGAATCCAAAATAGTAATATCCGTTTTCTCTCCCATGCCCCTATACATCCCTATTATTGCGGCAATATCCTTATTTTTGCCCTAACCCTTCAACCAAAAACCCTGAACTCTAAATCCTAGGCCCTAAATCCTAAACCCTAAACCTTGAACCCTAGCCCTAACCTCTAAATCCTAAACCCTAAATCCTGTTTTAGGAAATCCCTAGTGGCAGAGGTCCTTCTGGACGAGGAAGATGCAGGAGCAGCCCAGAGAGCCGACATGGGCCCCTGAGGGGCAAAGGCAAAGCATCAACCTCGCACTGACGAGAACACATAGTGTTAGGGTTCAGGTTTTAGTGTTTAGGGTTCAGATTTTAGGTTTTAGGTTGGGTTCAGAGTTTAGGTTCGAGGCCAAGGGGTTGGGATTTGGGGTTCAGTTGGGCCTTAGGGCTTGGGGTTCAGAGTATAGTGGCTATGATATTCTATACGGTCCAGAATCAGAACCCTAATCTGTGAAAGTCGCATTAAGACCCTTATGTCTTATAATGCTCGAATCTCAATATGTTCCCAAAGTCGCCAAGGGCTCCCCCTCTGGAGAATGCCCAGCCTTAAGTATTAATGAAGTTTGGGGTTAAAGAAGTTATGTGGTTCCAGCAAGTGCGCTCACGCTCAACCTAATCCAAATCAGAACTCCAGACTGGCTATAGTATGTGCCAAGTAAGCTAGCACTTCAAGTCTCTCTGGTCCAATGACCTCACCTTATACAGCAGTCGCTTCCTGGAGTCTGCTTTGGTAATACAAAGGTTTCCTAAAGACTTGCTCTGCAACTTTCATCTTCACCAAACAAGCTGGAAAAAGATCACTGATGTTTGAAATCTTTGCCCTTGGGCAACACCGAGAGTCCTGGGCTGGACGACAGGGGTGCTCGTGCAGTCACTATCCCCCCAAAACCAAAGGTGTTGACTAAGTGGCCTTACTGCTCATTCTGATACCGCATGACAAGCGGAGGAGGGGTCAGCCACAACAGGGGGAGCAGCAGCAGCACAGCAGCAGCGGCAGCAGCAAGATGGCAATTGTGTTGTTGTAGGAGTAACATTAGCAGCAAGAGAAGTGGACATACGTGTAAAGGCCGCCATCTTCTACAGTCCTGCCCTTTGGATATGGAACTGTCACAGTCGTACACGATCATGGTAGTAGCGTTGCGTGTAATTTCATGTTACCATTCCTGGCCACTGTCCGTTTCCTCGGTAGACTTCATGTTTGCTTGCAAGGCCTTACCTCATTCTCTTGCTTCGGCATGAGTTATGACCTTCATAGAGACGCTGATGCCTTCCAGTCTGGTTTCTGTTCTACACAAGTTGTTCTACATCAGAGGTGCCATGTTTGGGGGTTCCATCACTTAGGGGTCCCTGTTAAACCCTAAACCCTATATAACCTTAAAAAATATAGTAGTTTCCATTTCTTTCCCATAATCCCAATATTCTAATACTGGGGTCTATCCTGGGGCCTTCTCTTCATGGAAACTCCACATGGGAAGTACGCCTTGCCCCTACTTGGAACACGAGACTCGCTTGAAACGAGCTACCCGCACTTCAGCCCGGCTCAGGCTCGCTAATTGTTTCTATCCCGCTGCTGCGGGCCATGGACTCGCCACAGATAGTACCATGATATGGTAGTTTATCAAAATAAGGGGACCCAATATAGACCCCCACATACTA